ACCAAAAATTTGACAAGAGGCAAACATAATTGCAATACGCAAGTATTTAGAACAGGGTCATTGTTTTCATTCTTATACGCCCATATTTTCATGTGGACTTATTATGCCGTCGCCCCTGTTCGTACGTGTGTCCGTTCACATTTTGTTTGTGGATTCTCTACACAGGTTACAATTTTTATCCGATTTTGACGAAACTCAAAATATAGATTTATATCCCAAGGATCTCGGTTCCGTTCTATATTGGCATATATCGAATTGTAACTTCATGGAGTATGGCCCCTGATTGTACGTAAAATCGCGCTTTTAACTTGTGGACCCGCTAGAATTCCCAATTTTTATCTGATTTTGATAAAGCTTAAAACATATGTTTCTGTCTGAACCACCTCGGTTCCGTTCGATATTGGCGCAATTCGGACAGTCACTTCCTGGATTATTCCCCCCGATTGTAGAAAAAAATCACGTTTTTTGAGCTTGTGGAACCTCTACACTGTAAAAAATATCCATTTTTTATGTGGCCGATTTCCGTAATTTAACACCTTTTTTCTGTTAATCGATGGATTTTTTGGAGAAATTGTGTTTATAGTGTGAATTATTTCTTCAAATTACGTGTTTTATGTATTTCTCTAGAATATTCAATATTAAACAGGAAATTTCCGTGAAATTTAGGGATAAAATGTTTTATTCCCTTCTATAATGGACTTAATTCTGTTATTTTACGGAATAAACGGTGGAATGACAAGGAAGTTCCTTGAAATTTAGGGATAAAATGTTTTATTCCGTTCTGTAATGGACTTAAGTCTGTTATTTTACGGGATAAACGGTGCAACGATAAGTAATCGTATACATATATAATCATTCCTAATAATCATCATGTTATAGTATTCATTTCAATTTATTTACCATAATATGAAGAATCATATTTTGTAAAGTTTGGTATATTGATTGTCATATATATCTAATTTCAATTATTTATAAGTGTATTGTGATTCATCATACGGAAATCAGATTGTAAGTATTTTCATAAATATATAAAAATATGTTTTAATGCTGCGTGTGTTAAGATTGTAATATCTGGTAATGAAGCACGCTTAAATCCGGATAGTACAACCGGTTGGCCAGTGTAAGTCGGTTTGTCTCTATGGCGGAGTCTACATATCTGCGAATTGATAATACCGCAAACTTACCCCTGAAAGCATCCAACCACTGACGAGTAGCGGGTTGTGATACCTTGCTCTCGATTCTTATATTAGCGAAAAGAGGTTACGTTTAAAGATTATCTGTGTTATCACTTCGGTAGAAGCGGACGTTAAATAAAGCTATTTCACGCACGCATATAAAGTCAATGGTTAATTCAATGAAATTTTTATCACCTTCATCATCGTCAGGAAACAAAATTTACCAGGGTTTTTTTTTCTGTATTTGAAAATGGAATTTCTGTTAATTGAGGGAATTTCTGTAAATTACAGGAAAAACAAAAATACGGATAAAATTTTCCTGGTAATTTTTGTTTCCGGAATTTTTTACGTTTTTTCACGGAAATTTTTGTTACAGTGTAGGGATCACAATTTTTGTGTAATTCACTATTTGGTCAATACATATGGATAAAATTTTCCTGGTAATTTTTGTTTCCGGAATTTTTTACGTTTTTTCACGGAAATTTTTGTTACAGTGTAGGGATCACAATTTTTGTGTAATTCACTATTTGGTCAATACATATGATATTATAAGGTAGACTTACCAGAATAGTGAAAAGTTTTTTTACCCCGAGATCCAAAAGTGCTTACATTAATTAACAAATGACTAGGTCTAGTATAGTGTTTAACAATATCATTGGTGAAAGTTAATTTGTCTGTCAAGTACTTAGGGACAAGACCATTTACTATGCAAAAATAATGGTTTAATTTTATTTGTTGCACCCTCATATGTACCGGTAACCAGCCAACTTCAAGGAATTCACCACATAGCTTAAATTTAAAACAAATCTTAACAATTTATTGACTGTAACATCTTTTTTGTTATTCCGGATAGGCTGGAATAACAGTAAGAGCAAGCGTAATCGAAATGACATTGGACCTTTCTATACAGGAACATTAGTGTAGATTTAGCTTTTTTTATTACCCTTTTACCCATATCAGTGTTATTGCAGACTACCTTTACACTAGAATGTTTCTTTAATTTAGTACCAAATAGAATGGACTCGGTCTTGCCTAAATTAAGTGAGAGCTTGCTTCTAATTATAGTTTATTTTCAATTTCCTCTATATGCTTGCTTGCAATAATTAGGGCAGAAACATCCGCATATAACAATAGTCTATAAGACACCGATGCTTGCATATCTTAAACATACAATTGAAATGAGGAAGGTCCAAATATTGAACCTTGGGGTACCCCACATGATATATTTAAAAAAAACTAGAGTGAATATTAACTCATTGCTTCTAGTTCATTTATTAAAATGGAATGATCTACAGCATAAAAGGCTTTTTTTTTAAAGTCAATCAAAACAACTCAAGTGTAATTGCCATTATCCATTTGGTGTCTGATATAGTCTGTCAAATATATAAATGTAGTGTCAGTAAAAACCAGATTTGTGCTGAAACAGGAGTGTATTGTTTTTTAAATAGGACTACACTTGTTCATAAAAAAACATCTTTTCTAGTACTTTTGACACAATATTCAAAATTGCCAGAGGTCTATAGTTACCAGACGATGTTTTATCACTTTTTATACAGAGGGACAATACGGGCACATTTCCTAATTGAATGGACAAATTAATTATGCAAGGAATTGGTCCCACAATTGACTTAACGCTATCCTTTAAAAATTTTGCAGAAAGACTATCAAAACCTGTTTCTATTTTAGGATTTAAATTAATTAACATTTTTGAGATTTTTTTTCTCAATGACACTAAGTAGAACTCCGATGTGTTGAATTTCTAGAAATTATTGAGGTACTAATAATTGTATATGCTGCACCTGTAGATAATTTTATGCCATGGTGGTGAAAAACGAATAAAAACATTCAGCCACTGATTTGTCGTCAAAAATTATTTCTTCATTTATCTTTAAGCCTATAATTTTTGATGATGACCCCACCATTTTAGAAGGTGTGCAAATTTGCTCCAGTGTCCCCACCAAAGACTCCTTGAGTTGTTTTGGTTTTCGTCTATTTTATCTGTGAAACAAAAATGATTTGGCCATTTTTATGCGTCCACATGAACGTATATTGTCGTCGCCCCTGTCCGTCCGGACGTCCGCCTGCCTGGCCACCCGCCTGTGCGCCCGGTCACAATTTTTACGAAACTTGAAAAATAGGTTTATATCCCAAAGATCTCAGTGGATCCTGTAGAGGTCACATTCTTTATCCGATTTCAGTGAAACTTATGTTTATATCCCAAAGATCTGGGTTCGTTTGGATACTTGCGCGTATCGAATCGTAACTTCCTGGAATATGGGCCCTGATTTTAGCATTTTTTAGCTTGTTCTCTGTACATCTCTTGCAAATTGTGGGCCTATCTTGCCTGGCAACCTATGGTTTATTATTTATGGGATTTTGTTTCTAAAAGCTTTAAACTAGACAAAAAATATTTTAAATCTTTTCAGAGAGCATAATCTCTCACATGAATCCATTTTAAAATATCATTAGTAATCCAAACCTCGGTTCTTTGTTTAATTCTAACTTGTTTACTAGATGTATCTGAATCTAGAATACCAGCATATAAACTCTTAAACCGTAACCAGGTATTATTTACATTTGCACAGGTGGTAGCTTCATTCCAGTCAGTGTTGTCCAACCTGCTCCTTACTAACATTCAGTCTGTTTAAAATACAAATCTATATTTCGTTTTGTTTTTTATTCTTTCGATGGCCTCTATTACATGACGATCTGACCAGTTCCGTGCATTGCACGCAACAGACCGTTTCATTGGCTAATCCCTCACACCAACCAGAACGCGAGTTATATAATAACAACTCCTCCGGATCCTAGTGTAGTAAAGACAAGTAAAACGAAATTTTTGAACTATAAAAACGAAACGAAATAGCAACTGCGTTTTAATCAGATAGGAAAACAACAGAGCGGTTACTAATACCAATGTCTAAAGTACATGATTGCTTAATTCTAATTTTTATAGGGTCAGAAACACTAATCAAATCTAAATTTAATTGAGAAAATAACTTCATGACTAAACGGGATCACTACCGTTGGTATGTTAGCAATGTTGATTTCAGGGTATGTTGTATGACGACTGCTAATAACGGTGGGGTTGAAAGTGTTACATAAACTGTAGATAAACACTGCCATGATTAAATACGTCATTATTGTTTTCTTGTCAAAATTTTGGATTGTTATTGTTTATATGGTTAGCCATGTCTCGCGATGGTTTACTTGGTAAACGCTATTAATAAAGAATCTGTCGAAAAATTGTTTATATTTCAACCTTCTATGGTTGGTTGGATTCCTTATTAATATGGTGATTATCTTTTGATCCATAGATTTCCATTATTAATAAGTAGACAATATCTTTTAGCAAACATGCAAAACAACCACGTGGCCACCAATCTATGTCCACAAGGGTTGTTGGACAATTTAGAGGTCACAACTGTTATCCGATGTTGATGATACTTAAAACATATGTTTATATCCCTACGATTTCGGTTTCTTTCGATATTGGCGTATATCGGACCGTAACTTCTTGGATTATGGCCCCTTATGGTACGAAAACCCGCGTTTGTAGCTTGAGGAACACCTAGAGGTCACATTTTTATCCGATTTCGATGTAATCGAAAACGGTTATATCTTAAAAGATCTCGGCACAGTTTGATATTGACACATTTCGGACCGTAACATCCTGGATTATGGCCGATTATTGCACGAAAATCGCTTTTTTAGCTTGTTCTCTGTCCATCTCTTGCAAAATGTGGACGTATCTTGCATGGCAACGGCTTGTTTGCCTTTATACGGCTTCTTCAAAATAACCATTAAAATATATTTTAATTTCAGTTCATCGACCCTTCGATTCCATGTATACGGACTGAGATCTGGATTAACCGGAATTTGTAAAGACATCTAAAATGACTGGGAGTGTTAAGTTAAGTGAAAAACATCGGAAAGCTCTTCAGAAACACAAAGAGTTCTTAAGCTACACACTATCGGTTAAAGAGCTAATTGATGTAATGCTAACAGACAATATACGCTTATTTGATAAATGTGAACTTTCAGCACTGATAACGGCTCATTACAGAAACAGACAAGACGCAGCTCGTATGTTTGTTGAAACATTAAGTGATTCGGATGAACAAACGTACAAAAAGTTTAAAATCTGTTTGAAAAGAGCTGGCTATAAAGACGTCCTAAAGAGATTAAAATCTCCAAGTGTAAGTATGTTTATATGGTGCACATCTGATTAATTCCTCACATCAACCAGAACGCGAGTTATATATAGATCCTAGTGTAGTAAAGACAAGTAAAACTAAATTTTGAACTATAAAAAACGAAACAAAATAGGATCTGTGTTTTAATCAGATTGACGTTGCACAGTATCATCAAGGTTCCTTATCACTTCACATTTTCGATTGCGTCTTCAAATCAGTCTAAGACATGTCTAATGTGTTGAAGAGCATTTGGGTACACATTTGTTGCGTCGTTTAATTGAAAGAAAGCACAATTCATTGCCAATATTGCGGTGTTGCCCATACCGAACTTGGCTTGAATAGCGTATGGTCTTTTCTGTTAATATTTCCTTGTCGACGCCATTCCCCGGAAATGTTTAGCGGGTATTGATATCGTTTTGAAGTAGGGGTGTATACCGTCCCAACGATCCAGAATCTGAACTGCCTAAATCATTTGAACACGTGTATCCGTTGTGTACAGTTCTGTATTATTAATACATAACCATACAAACGTGAGGGCTTTTCGTGTCTTATTTAAATACACAGTTACACGTAGAGATTAAGGGGTCAATATCGTGTATTATCTCTAGTCTTAAAGATGCATTGTGTAAGATTTAGATAAAGAGCTGCCCGTTCTTCCTATAATAGTTCTAAAAATGATAATTAAAAAAAAAGATATATTGAGAATTTCATTCAAATTACTTTATTCTGAGCCATGATATCACTGATTAAAGTTCTGACAAGCCGTGGTAAATATTATTTATTACCTTAGCAACTTTACTTGTTAATCGAGACTCACGGTCTCCATTTTTTTAATTTAATCATTAAATGGCGACCGTCTTTAATCGGTTTAAATCTCTGACATCCAGCAGTCCAGAGAGTTGATTCTCTACTGGCCATGTGAATAAATGTCTAAATGATAATTTATATAACATTCGGGCTTATGTTAGAATAAACGTAGCCAATGTGAACATCAGAAACGAATAATAATATAACATTATGTAACATGAGGAAAGTGTGTTAAGTTAATGTTAATCAAAAATAGGTCATCCGTAGTTACTATAAACATATCCGGACAGAGTGTCTTCCCACTTAGCAATCAGATGAAATGGAGTTTAACGTCCTCGTTTTCTGCACCAAATGGGCCAATGGGGCTGGGTGGTCTAGTGGTTTAACGCGTTCGTGGGTTCGATTCCCCGCGTGTACGTGATACGGAGTAGGATTCCCTGTCCAACCTCGTGGGTTTCCTCCGGGTCCTCAGGTTTCTTCTCACTGCAAAAGACCCGTAACCTGAACGAGTTTGTGTCGAGTGGACGTTAACCCCCATTTCTTTCTTAAAGTTTTGTGTAACCGCAATCATCATTTAGAACATATTCTAGTGGAGGGGGTAGGGTCAGGCTATCGTAGATTTTACAAAATATTATAAATAATACTATTATTTTTTACTTATAGGTAAAAAAAAAAATTTGTAATATTTTCAAGAAAAATCCGAAGGTAGGTTGCTGTTTATGAAACGTTTAACCTCTTTTTGACACCTATTTTGAGACTAACATATGGTTATTATATATACTCAGGGTTATATATTCAGGTTTATATACTCAGGATTATATATTCAGGTTTATATACTCAGGGTTATATATTTAGGTTTATATACTCAGGATTATATATTCAGGTTTATATACTCAGGGTTATATATTCAGGTTTATATACACAGGGTTATATATTTAGACTGTGGCATGTTGTATACAAGAGAATAAAATAAATGCTTTGGGAGAGGTAGAACAAAGTAAAATGTGGTTTAAAATATTGTTGTTGTACACCAACCAGGACGAGTGGGGGAGGGCGAAATGAAATGAAATAGGGTTTAATGTCCTACTGTTCCGCTCCAACTGGGCTAATAAAGACGAACATAAGCCATACAGTGTGCTCTGTACAGTGTGCCTTTTCCAGTCCGTCCCACTGTTCTGCTCCGACTGGACTAATGAAGACTGGCTGCGCCATAGAGTGTGCTATAGTGGACATTTTCGTAACAACTTTGGCCAACCTCGGGATAGAACCCCGGACTTCCGAATTGTTTAACAGATTATCATAACACAACGTAAACCGACATATAAAATCCAATAAAATCGATATTTTTGTCATTCCCACCCAACTTATTTTAGCCATGTTAAAAATAAATAAATACAAATTATTTAACTGAGAAATGCAAACGTACAATTGTTTCCGATGTTTTTCTGTCTGCGGCAAGTATAAGCGTGCAACTCGACAGATAGCCATAACGTTTCGGAATTGAGTTTTCTCAGTCTCCAAAATAGCGACAATCGAGTGAAAAGGGATTTCGAGGTGGCACGCATGCACCGACTTCATCAGAAAAAATATCCCAGCCAAACATTACAGCTGGAACATATTCGTCGTATTTAATTACGTAACGATTCTACTCAAACCACCTCCCTTGTTGGAATTGACATCTTGGCAGAACTGTGTCGGGTTTGAATTCTGCGTCACTCGATTTTAATTCCGTCATGCGAATCGTTCCGAACTGACGGGGGGGGGGGGGGGTGATCGCCGAATGGTTAGCACGTGCGTGCTGTATCATAATTCCTGTCATTGAGTAAACAGGCGTGGTTTCGAATCCCCGGTTGTACGTGACAAGGAGTAGGGTCGCCTGTCCAACCTCGTGGGGTTTCTCCGGGTCCTCCGTTTTCCTCCCACTGCTAAAGACCCCTACGCGCAAGCGAATTATTAAAATAAAATTAAACCATATGTTAGTCCCGAAATGACCTAGTTTGTGTCGAGTGGACGTTAAACCCATCTCTCTCTCTCTCTCTCTCTCTCTCTCTCCGAACTGACAGTCGAGTATCCCTTTATTGCGCGGTATTGACAAGTGATCGCGATTGATAACTCCATAACAAAAACCTAGCTAAATTGTTGGAAACACATTTTGAATGATCTTTTTCTGTTCTTTTTGTTCCAGCCTGATACCTATTTACGATTTGAAAATGAAAGACTGAGAGACGAAAACATGCGTCTGCAGATACAGTTTAAAAATATTCCGCGGAAACATTACGACTCAATTTCAACGGATGATGCTGAATCGGTTATGTCGGACAAAACAGAATCGGTTATGTCGGACAAAACAGAATCAAACCAGTCGGATAACGGAATCTGTGAAGAAATAGAAAAACGCACAAGGGGATTTCTTTGTCTAATCTGTTGTGTGACAGTTGAGAATAAAAAGATGTAACCTTATATCATGTCGTATTGATGGTAACTACGACATTCTGAAAGTTGAATCTCAAAGAGAAATAGAATTAAAGGGACTATCTCGATTTGACCAGAGTCTCAAAAATAAAAGTCTGACGTAGGAAATTTAAGTGCCAAAATATATTGGGATGGTGTATTTACTTTGTCTCAAAATTTCAGCTCAACAAATTGATTCGTTTGGATGTGAACGTCAAAACTGCTTATCCGGGCACGTAACCCTTATAAGATATCGGGTCAGTTTTTTCGTTGGGTGACGCGATAATCGAATCCCGTTCCTTTAGAGGTCTATACAATGACTGACTGACGGGTTTAAGTTGTTTGACAACGTATCACATATATTGAGTTAGTTGCTCGGCACTAAGGCAGAGAATTTTAAGGGTGTGTAACACAAAATTAAGCAGTTTTATTCTCCAAAATATTATCGGGATTGACCCTTTAAAGAAATGGTTCCACTCCGTTCAGTATTTAGAGCGATATGACTTAGTGAAAATGAAACAATATTCGACATCCACTGCAGACGATATCAACAAGCCAGTGACATCTATAAATGTTAAGAAAAAATATACTGTTTATAGTTTGCTTTTGTTTTCTTAATTTATTGTTATATTATTATATTTTGTACCTTTAGCGCTGTTTATATTAAAGATACATTATGTAAGATTTAGATAAAGAGCTACCCATTCTTGCTATAATAGTTCGAAAAAAGTTAATCTAAAATGAATAATTTGAAAATTTCATTCAAATTACTCTATTGCGAGCGAAGATATTAGCCTTTAAAGTTTTGACAAGAGGTGTGCAATAATTTCAACCACCGTACTGGTTGTTCGAAGCTAAATCTCGCTCCTCCATTTTAAGCTTTAATCAAAATATGGCTGAATTGTTCTAATCTATTTAATATCGGACAAATCCGATGCCATCGGGAGTTGATTATGACCTGGATAAGTTAATTAATGTCTAATTAATAATTTAGAGAACATTTCAGGCATATGGAAAGACCTTCAATAGGCAGAATTAGCTCTTGCATAATGTATGTTAAGCCGTTAAAAGTTGTTAGAATAAAGCACGATACCATTTATATTAACTGACAAATACATTCAAACTTGGGGGGTTGGATGGCCGAATGGTTAGCACGTGCGCGCTGTATCACAAGGTCTGTCATTGAATCAATTGTTGTGGTTTCGATTCCCTAGTTGTACGGGACAAGGAGTAGGGTTGCCTGTCCAATCTCGTAGGTTTTCCCCGGGTCCTCCGGTTTCCTCCCACTGCTAAAGATCCCCTACGCGCAAGCGAATTGTTGAAATAAAATTGAACCATGTGTTAGTCCCGAAATGACCTAGTTTGTGTCGAGTGGACGTTAAACCCTTCTCTCTATCTCCCTCTCTCTCTCTCTCTCTCTCTCTCTCTAAAAGATCTCGGTTACTTTCAATATTGGCATGTATCGGGCCGAAACTTCATAAATTATGGCCTCTGATTGTACGAAAAATCACGTTTTTAGCTTGTGGACCCTATAGAGGTCAAAATTTGTATCCGATTTTGTTGAAACTTGAAAAGTGAGTTTATAACCCAAAGATCTCGGTTCCTTTCGATATTCGAGGATATCGGATCGTAACTTCCTGAATTATGGACCCCGATTGTACAAAAAATCACGTTTTTAGCTTGTGGACCCTATATAGGTCATAATTTTTATCCGATTTTAAAAAAAAAACGTTTAGTATATCACCGTTACACACTAAGGTACGTTGAGATCGAATTTCGTGAAAATCGGCCCAAAACTGACAGACAAAATGGCCGTCCCTCGTTCTCAAATAGCGTAAAAATATGGTATATCAAGGTTGTGGACCCTCTAGAGGTCACAATTTTCTTCCGATTGTGATGAAACTTGAAATGTACGTTTATAACCCAACGATCTTGGATCCTGTCGTTATTCGCGCATATCGGATCGTAACTTCCTGAATTATGGCCCTTGATTGTACGAAAATTATCGTTTTTAGCTTGAGGTCCATGTAGAGGTCACAATTTTTAACCGATTTAAAAAAAAATGGTGAATATATCATCATTACCCACTAAGATCTTGGTTCCTTTTGATTATCGCGTGTATCCGAACATAACTTCCTGGATTATGGCTCCTGATTGTTCCGATTTCAAAAATATTTTCAAATATTTCACCATTCCACCATAATGACGGTTGAATTCGAATTTCGGGAAAATCGAAATGAAACTGCTCGACAAAATGGCCGCTCTTTGTATGCAAATTGTGTAAAAGTATGCAATACGAAGGTTGTGGACCCTCTAGAGGTCACAATTTTTATCCGATTCTGATGAAACTTAAAATATATCTTTATATCCCAAAGATCTCAGTCCCTTTTGACATTTGCACATTTCAGACCATAACTGTACGTGGCCGAACTTGTTTGGGGGGAGGGGCAGCATATTCTCCCGACAAATATATTTCTTTAGAGTCCGCGAATCCGTCCGGCCGCGAGCGCCGGAGGCGTAAACGTTCGATGGGGGTTACTGGGGGCGCCCCCAGAAAATTTTGAAAACCAGACGGCCGTAGACGCTATTTCCAGGCATTTCGAATACTTTCTAGTAATTTAGAGTGGGTAGTAAATTATGTCAGTTGCAGCATAAAAACTGGTAAAAAGTCATCTTTAAAATACAAGCTCTATTACTACGAAAACAAGAACAAGTCGAACGATTTACTTTTGCCCCATTTTATGAGACTTCACATTTTTATCCAGATCTCAGAAGACTTGTATATACTTTATCTACTTTTAATATATGAATGGCCATTTTAAAAGAGTTCAAATTTGCAATCTATATATTCCGTATTACGATTTACTTTTGCCACGTTTTTCATTATATGACAGTTCACATTTTTATCCATATCTAAGATAGATAGATCTAGAATCAAGATAGAAGACTTTTTGAACTTGTAAAATTTATATACTTTTAATATATGAATGACCATTTTAGTTCAAGTTTATTTACATCTAGTGCACTATATTATACCAAAAGAAGAATACTTTACTTATTTCACATTTGATGCGCGATGATGCAGCATCAGATTTTTCACTAAAATTTCTCACTAGAAAAAAATAGTATACTAAGTTACTAAAAATGATATATATCATATTATGATTTTAAACGCAATTGCGCGAAATAAAAAAACGCCATGGAGTGGTTTCAATTAGTACCGATTATCGACTGGTATTGGCCAGAAAGTGCAATGCACTACTATCTATAGTTCACATATAGATATGTTGTACTGGTTGGGGCAGTGGGGGGTATCAGTGGTATCTATCAATATCTATATCTCCTCCTCTGGCATCGACAGGTAGCATATGAAGTGTATGTATGGATAGGGAAGGCATAAACAGAGGGTTTATACTGCTTTTCAGCTGCTCACTTCTATCACTGGGCTCGTCCGGTCCATGGAGTTTGATGCTAGTATACAGGAACACAGTACTCAAGAACTGAGAAAGGCCATGTGTACGTGCTAGTTCTATTCAGATGGCGTACGTGTTCATCATTGACTGGACTGCTTTCTTTCCGCTTCCATATTATTAAAAATATTCAAAACCCGACAGACGGCGCGACGCTTCCAGACAAACGGAGCATTCATTCCCGACAAGACCATAGCCTTACCCGACATGGCCATACCCCTACCCCTACCCCATTTTCAAAAACTCCTCGGCTAATGACCGATCTCACAATTCTGAGCTCTTTTCAGATTTCTATTTTTTTTCATGAAAATATTGGCCTCGTACGCCTATGATTGCCCCTGATTGTACAAAATATCGTTTTTGTTTTTAGCTTGTTCTCTATCCATCTCTTGCAAATTGTGGGCGTATCCTGCCTGGCAGCCGCTGGTAATATAACCTTATTATGCTCGGAAGCACATACGTAATCTTTAACGGGACTGATAGTGAATTGACGATTCATCAATAAGGCTTCCGAGGATATATGGTCCAAACAGATGTCAGCGTACAATGTTTACGCTTACGGGTTATTACTGGGATATCTTGTGATTGCCTTGAAAACAAGCCTTTCATGTTCTTCCTTGGTTGGCAAGCGTTGGGGCATACTAAACGTACGTTTTCTGTCTACTATTCACTCTGCTTAAGAACAGATACTAGCTAGTTGACCGACATTTTAGGTCCCAAGTATATTTGGAGAATTTTGAGAAGTATATATTCTGCTTTTATTTATTAAGATTGAAAAGGTTTAATGAGTCTTTTTGTGTATAACAGATTTGAACCAGATTAGCACCGCATTGCAAAGCAGTATGTTGACGATTTAAACATGCATTATGCAAGAGCAAAATCTGCTTATTACAAGTCTTTCTTTTGGCCTGAAATGTTATCTAAATTATCAATTAGACATTAATTAACTTATCCAGACCATAATAAACTCTCGATGTCAAGACTAGCCTTCGATGTTGACTGGATTAGATTCCTATATGCCGCTAACGGCCATTGATAATTAAATTTAAAAAAAGTGATAATCGAGTCTGGTTTTTATCCTACCTACTTTAGTAATGATGATCGAGGCTAGACCAAAAATTCAATTGCTAAAATCTCGGTTCATAGTGGATCATTTTGACTGAAATTTTCAGCAAATTCATTTTACAGTATCTAGATTTTTAACTATTATAGTGAGAACTAGCAGCTCTTTATTTAATCTCCCATAATGTATCGTTAATCAAGTGTTTGGATAATCCCTAATTAAGTACTTCACGCCCCTCTAATCTGATTAAGTAACATGAGCTGAACATTAATGTCCACCTGACACAAAGTAAGTCATTTTGGGGTCCAGCATATTGATCCTTTTCATTTCAATAATACGCGGGTCTCTAGCAGAGGGAGGAAGTTGGAAGACTGGGAGAAAACCCGCAAGGTTAACAAGTGACCCTACTCCTTGTCACGTACAAGCGGAGAATCGAAACCACGTCACTTGACTCAATGACAGACCTTATTATTTCATGTGTATGTTACACAGTGTATTAAGTATAAATGTCTACAGAGAGAGAGAGAAATGGGGTTTAACGTCCACTCGACACAAACTAGGTCATTTCGGGACTAACATATGGTTTAATTTTATTTACATAATTCGCTTGCGCGTAGGGGTCTTTAGCAGTGGGAGGAAACCGGAGGACCCGGAGAAAACCCATGAGGTTGGACAGGCGACCCTACTCCTTGCCACGTACAACCGGGGATTCGAAACCACGCCAGTCGACTCAATGACAGACTGTATGATACAGCGCGCGCACGCTAACCATTCAGCCATCCAACCCCCCAATGTCTACAGTGTATTTAAATTTATGTATTAAAGTAGCTAAGTCTCTAACTCAATATCATCTAAAGTCTTACACGTTGAAAATACGAATTATTTGTCAATTCAAATCAACATTGATGTTGTGATCTTACCAGGAAAAAGTAGGCTTTTGATATCCAATATTTAAGACAAAATAAACATTTTACCATTGGTACACGAATCGTGTACCATAGTGCGTTTCAGCGTCATTTGTTACAAGTGACCAGAAAGGACGAGGCTAGATATATTCCACAACTACTGTCAAACGGTAACGCCATATCTTATCTGGAGAGCATGCGCAATAGACTTGAATAACCAGACGCTAGAAATTGCTATTCGGTTGAGACTCCTGCCGTATTTCGCTGGACATAACTGATTTGAAATTAGAGTCAAAACGGAAACAATTGAATATAAATCAGTTCATATACAATCAGATTACATTATTATATGCGTTGCGACCCATTTGGGTCAATTTCTAGGTCTCAAATATTAGCGATTTAGCTCCTTTAAATAAATGTATATGTAAATATTATCTATTACGAAATGTTGGTATTTATATTATGCTATATTTATATTAATAACTATCATTTGATGCATAATATAACAAATGTTGTTTTTGGTCATTATGACCCAAATGTTTTGGGATTATTCTAATATGTTATAATTGTGCAATCTACTGGAGCCAGTATTTGTTCAGGGAGTCAATTAGTGTTGGATTTGATCGAATACTTTTCAGTATCTGTTATAATTGTTTCAAGAAATTAGAATATATATTACTGCATTTTATTAATCAGAAGCAAGGTTGAAAGTGTGTTTGGCACATTCCGCAGAGGACCCCCTAACCACCCTCTTTACCAATAGTCGCCCGCGCATGGACTGTCCCCACACCTAATTTTTGGCGATCTGACCCTGCCATTTACTGTAAAGATGTCACTTACTGTAAAGATACGACGATTAATGTCACTTACTATAAAGAAACGTAATTTTAGTTGACAACTAATTTAAGTGTTTTCAAAATAATAAATTAAATTAAAAGTTTATAATATATACTATTCAAAAAAAGTAGGGGATATTTGATTTTTAAGTGTTATTAAAGTCACCTAATGAAACTGACGAAGAAACAAATGACAAAATGAAATGAAGTTCACATTCATCGATTTATTCCAAATGATCGTTAGACTAAGTAAGGCACAGACTGACCATTATAAGGGTAAAATGATACCCGGGGTCAAACAGCAAAGTTACCACAGCATCACAACCAAGTCAGTAACGGGTAAATCCTCCTCTGTTTGCCAAACAAGCATTGATCCGACGTGGCATACTCCTAATGAGACGTCTAAGGTCATTTTGGTCCAGATTGTCCCATTCCTGTTGCAACGCAGCAGCAAGTTCTTGGACATTGGCATGACGTTGTTGACGTTGACGTAACCTCTGTCCAAGCATGTCCCAGACATGCTCGATGGGGGAGAGGTCGGGACTCAGTGCTGGCCAAGGTAATGTGGTGATGTTCTGTTGTTGGAGGTAACCTGTAACGATCCTGGCCCTGTGACATCTTGCGTTGTCATCCTGGAAGATGAAACGGCGGCCATGACATCGTGCGAACGGCACAGCATGGACTGCCAAGATGTTGTCCCGGTAGTACTGGCCTGTAACACGCCCTGCAACAACATGTAAAGCCGTTCTTCGAGCAACAGTGATGCCTCCCCACACCATAACAGAACCACCCCCAAATCGATCATGTCTGATGACGTTAACGTCTTGGAAGCGCTCGTTTCGACGACGCCACACCCTCCTACGTCTGTCCAAAAAATCAACAGTGAACCTTGACTCATCTGAAAACATCACATTGCTCCAGCGTCGATTATCCCAGTGTTGGCGATCCCTACACCAACGACGTCTTGCCTGAATGTGATGATCTCTCAAACAAGGGATCACGCGAGGACGTCGGGCGCGAAGGTGACCCCTATGCAGTCGATTCCGAATCGTCTGGCCACTCACTCTCACACCAGTGTCTGTTTGAAGACGAGCGCTGATCTGATTTGCTGTGATGACACGATTTTTCAAGGCCAAGGTACGGATAAATCGATCCTGGGCTTGAGTTGTCGCCCTTGGTCGACCTGAGCGTGGTCTGTCCTGTACAGATTGTGTATCACGGTATCTGGACCATAGCCTGCTTATGACAGACTGAGAAACATTCATCGTCCGCGCCACAACCGCCTGTGTTGTGCCGATCTGTAGCATGCCAAGGGCACGTAACCTTTCATTTTGGGTAAGCCGACGCATATCAAAATTTGTTTTCTGGTCACTAAAACAATTAAACTGATGTTTCCACCCTGGAATTCAATGCCACAATGACTGTAACATTCAAAGTCAGAGTCGTGCAAATCTTGGGTTGGACCCCCATGATGATCCCAAGCATCACCTGCATTCCATGCGGTAGCTATTGGTGCGTTTGGGCGTCACATGTAACTGGAAATGTTTCTTCTGTTAGGTTCTATAGTGACTTTTTTCGTAGTCATTTGCATATTTTAGTATTATGCCCCCAAAATCAAATATCCCCTACTTTTTTTGAATAGTATAGTATGGTTTAAAGTCACGCAACGTGATCTGTTTCTATTAATAGATGTATTGCCAGTGGTGTGTAATTTATAATATAGCATGTTTAAACGTCACGCATCGTGATCTGTTTCTATTAATAGATGTATTGCCAATGGTGTGTAATTTATAATATAGCATGTTTAAACGTCACGCATCGTGATTTGTTTTTATTAATAACTATATTGCCACTTTAAAGGTCATGTAGTTCTATTTTTCTAAACTAGACGAAAGGGGGACTTAACGGATATAATTGTTGTAATATGGGTGATTTACATTCAAATTTTACTTTGTGTTATAATTTATAATCAGTTTTGTTCGGTGAAAAACACGAACATTCCAAATTGAACGATAGTCTTTTGCGCCTGCTTAGTCCATTCTACATGGATTTATTTTTATTATTTCCACAGTTTTCTAGGGAATGATATCGTTGTTCATTGCAAATGGCGTTCGAAACCATTATGTCATTAGAGTACAAGAAGTTGTGCACTGCTTTAAAATGTCCATCGATTTTTAATATTGCATACATGTAATTAGGATCCCATATTTTCACGGCAAGATAACAACACCAATATTGTTTAGAATGGACCAATGTTGAATTCTACTTCGCGTTTTTAATTTTTAATGTTAGGGATAATATTGAGTTAGAGGGTTAGCTCCTTTAAGTGCGCCGCTAATTAGAGCATGACTGCGCATGATATTTAATGCAAGTGTTATAATGACATGACTGCGTACTGAACCAAGAGTGCAATTGGGTGCTAAATATTAGGGAGGCTTTACAGTTCGACTGACTCTGCACACAGCATATATAAATCAATTTAATAAGTTTGTTTAACATAAATGGAATGAATGGGGCTTGTTCCACCGGGCTAATGAAGACGGAAATCCACCATGCTATGAGAGTAATTTTGCCCCAACAACTGCGCGAGGCCTGCTATTATTTCGAATCCAACTGTCAAGGGGACTTTTACGTGTACACGGGACCTCGGGTGTTCGTCTCGGCCGGGTTTGTTTGTTTACAGAATAAGGATTGCGGACCAAGCTAGGCCTATATTTCACACTCCAATTAGGCCAAGGAAGGGATCAGCACAACGGAATTTGGGGCAAATGTCTCAGCCAGACCAGTGCCAACAATGAATAACAAATCAGCAACATATAACAATAATATTAATAATTTATTAGTATCATAGTATTCAAGAGGTTAAGGATTGATATATTTTAAACTTGCGAATATATCAACATTAGAACAACATTTGCGGTTCTCTGCTAGCTCAGTCGTGAGTCGGGATATTTGTGTGAAATCCAGTGCCAACAATCAGCAGATGAATGCTATTGTCCAAGATTTTGAAATCAGAAAATCCGAAAAAAGTTAATTTAATTTCAGCATACTTCTAAACTTTGTTTTAATACGGTTTGATGTTGTTTTTATTTAGTATCGTATGAAGACACCACAATCCTTTCGTTACTTAGGGCCCCCACAAGACTTAATCCGGTCGCTTTGCTTCGATGCCAAAGAAACATTGTTTAACTTTACTCATATTAGGTGTACGTCCGGCTTTGAACAAAGGCTGTGGTTAAGTTAAGGGTTAAAATCACAATTGGTTAACACATTGTGAAATGACGGGAAGTAATAACCTTTGTGTAATTTATTTAGTATATAAATCGTAGTGATGTAGTCGTCACCAAACATAAAATCCAAGCCAGTAATGTACTTGTTGTGGAGGCAGAATCTGAAATAAAAGAACTAATTGGTAAAATGCAATCACGGGCAAAACCGAAGTTCAGTACTAAATTGTGGTTTTGAACAGTTTTTAACTGTAAATATGGAATTTATCGATGGCATATTCTCCATAATGTAGTTGAATTTAATCTGGGTAGTGTATGATGGTAAGAGTGGGTACACGGAATAGACCATGTACCATGTGATGTGATCGGGGTAGTGTATGATGGTAAGAGTGGGTATACAGAATATAATCGTTTTGACAATGTACCATGTGTGGCGGCAAGAATGGATACACAGAATATAACCGCGTCGACCATGAACCATGTGATATTATCGGGGTAGTGTATGATGGTAAGAGTAGGTATCCAGAATATAACAGTTTAGACCATGTACCATGTGATGTTATCGGGGTAGTGTATGATGGTAAGAGTAGGTATCGAGAATATAACAGTTTAGACCATGTACCATGTGATGTTATCGGGGTAGTGTATGATGGTAAGAGTAGGTAACCAGAATATAACAGTTTAGACCATGTACCATGTGATGTGATCGGGGTAGTGGATGATGGTAAGAGTGGGTATCCAGAATATAGCAGTTTAGATCATGTACCATGTGATGTGATCGGGGTAGTGTATGATGGTAAGAGTGGGTATCCAGAATATAACCGTTTCGACCATGTACCATGTGATGTGATCGGGGTAGTGTATGGTGGTAAGAGTGGGTATCCAGAATATAACAGTTTAGACCATGTACCATGTGATGCGATCGGGGTTGTGTATGGTGGTAAGATTGGGTATCCAGGATATAACAGTTTTGACCATGTATCATGTGTTGTGATCGGGGTATTGTATGGTGGTAAGATTGGGTATCCAGGATATAACAGTTTTGACCATGTATCATGTGTTGTGATCGGGGTATTGTATGGTGGTAAGATTGGGTATCCAGGATATAACAGTTTTGACCATGTATCATGTGTTGTGATCGGGGTATTGTATGGTGGTAAGATTGGGTATCCAGGATATAACAGTTTTGACCATGTATCATGTGTTGTGATCGGGGTATTGTATGGTGGTAAGATTGGGTATCCAGGATATAACAGTTTTGACCATGTATCATGTGTTGTGATCGGGGTATTGTATGGTGGTAAGATTGGGTATCCAGGATATAACAGTTTTGACCATGTATCATGTGTTGTGATCGGGGTATTGTATGGTGGTAAGAGTGAATATAACCGTTTAAACCATGTGATCCGGGTATATTGTGGTAAGAATGGATGTACAGAAATGTTGCTGCCCACGGATATTATGGAATTAAAAGCATTTAAAATCATATCGTCCCTTTATTATCCACAAGTGTTTAATTATAAAACAATTGGTAAAATGGCGCATAAAACTAGAGCGTAAAACCTCATTTCAATTCATTATTAAAAATATGTAAATTGAAAGGGGATTTGATCGTCTTTGCTTTTTTGCACGCCCCCCCCCCTCCCCCAGCCCACGAACTAATATACATATTTAACAATAAGTATGATTATGTCAAGTTACTACGGCTGGCATAAGCTTATTTCAACCCTTAACGTCATACTTTTCTGAATGACAGTGCTAATGAGGACGATCATGCTGGACATTTTGCCCAGACAGCGGCTTTCCACCCTGCTCTTCATCGAATTTCATTTGTAGAGGCAACAAGTACACGGGCGTATTTATTTTCAGTCGGTGTGAAATAAAGTTGCCCCGACCCTCAGGTATTCTACTACCACCTCCTATCAGCAATTAATACTATACACAGCGAGATAAATGCATTCAATTACACACCGTTATAAACTTGTAATGGTAAATCTCTTTGATCTTTGGGGTATATTCTATGCCCAGAATAACTTGCGGTCTGAAAGTCAGGGGAGATTTTGGATATATATATATAGGGAAATTTGGGGTTGTTCTTCTGAAAGTTTTTCTTTAAACCTGTAACAGATTATTCTTCAAGGGTAGGTTTATTTTCCATAAGAAAACATGATATAAGATTTTTCTTGCGGGGATTCTGGGATATTCTCATCTTGCGTACATGTAAACAAACGGTTTATAAGCAAGATAAAGTCCTCTGTGTAGGATAAAGCACGAGACTGAGGTTATGCTGGGGAAGTAAGACTCCAGAAAAAAACCCTCGACAGAAAAAACCCTGCTTACCGGCCTCGGTTTTTCTTTTTCTCGGGTTATTTTCTTCAGTCTTTCTTTCCCCAGCATAACCTCAGTCTCGTGCTTTATCCTACACAGAGTAGGCTAACTGTAGATACACAAATGAAAGACCTTACAAAAACTATAATTGATACCTGTCCAAACAAATACTATATACGCCCTATATCTAAACAAATAATAATAATACGTACTACAATTTAATACACCCTGTAAACCATTCACTGTTGAATTGGCGTTTTTAATCTCTGTTTCACTACAACCTGATCCACTGTTAACATTCTGTTTATCGATACACTCTGCATATTCATACACCAATCTATATAATACATATAAGATACATTATGTTAGAGTTAAATTGGTTGACTTCAAATGTTATATAAATTAATCTTTAGACATTTATTAAAGAATTAAAGATGCACTATTCAAAAGCAAAATCTTCCTAATGCAGATCTTTCGTTTGGCCTCAAATGTTATATAAATCATTAACTGGACATTTATTAACATGCCAAGCCCATAATCAACTCTCTTTTAGTACTTCGAATGGATTTGATTTCCAGCCGATTTAAATACTATTGGCAGTTAATGATTTGATTTAAAAATAGATAACCGAGACTTTGTATATTTTATCGTAACAACGGTAGGAATGACAATCGCGATTACACAGTTCTTCCAACGACTATAGCATATTCCCTTTTCATTATCTATTTTTTTTTAAACTTTAACGAGAAATCTCAGCTATTTATCTAAATCTTACATAATGCATCTTTAACATAACAAGCCTATATTCAACTCTCTAACATCCGCGAGATTTAAAAATTTAACGATAAAATGGACAAACGAGACTAAGACTCGGGTTTCAAGTAACGTTGCTACGATAATGAACGATATTCAAACAGAAATAACTTCGTTCAAAATAAAGTAATTTGAATGAAGATTATTGAATGAAATTGTCAGTATATTTGTGTTTCATTATCTATTTTTGAACTATTATAGCAATAAACGTCTAGTTATTTGTCAAAATCTTATTGCATTCATTTTGTAAATAAACAATATCAAGAATGGATTGGGGGATGTTGCGGAGGGGCGAGGGTGCTCGGTGTGCTTAGTCTTCCCTATGCTGTCTGGGCAACATTTCCATCTCGAGCATTTCCATTAGGCTTCTCACACCAAAGAGTTACATAATTATATTTATTTGAATTTATTTCAAAACAAAAGGTTCATTAACCACAGGGTTACATAATGTTATTTTTTTAAAAAAATATTTTAAAACAAAAAGTTCAATAACTTACTCGCATTTCATCTGTTGATTGCTTGCTCCTGGATATAATCTCTCGTGGTCACGTTTACATGTCAGTAATGTACATTCACTTTCTGCTACAGCCCATACCATTCCTTAAAGATGATATAAAATGAAATGAAATGAAATGGGGTTTAACGTCCTACTGTTTTGCTCCGAACTGGGCTAATGAAGACGGGATTAAAGATGATATAAACAGAAAGATGACAGCTCGCTAACCTCGAGTTTTTTCTAATATCTCTGTAAAAGATGACTGCCTTTTACACGTGCGTTGGCTGAATGGCGCGTGCATTGTTTACATAAGACGTTACTGCTTCGCGCAGAATGCTGCCTTTTAGTCACTTTAATTCCCATTTGCACTAAATAGGAAATAAGTTTTACTTACAAATACGTCAAACGTCTTTATTTATTTTTCTAATACATCAAAAAATGTTTCAGAATTTAATTTGTCGGTGAAACAAAGTTAATATTTGAGACTCATTAAGTTACGTTGATGTCATCCTTACCAGTGATTGTAGCGGCCTAGCGAATATTCACTGCTGATCAGTGTGCGAGGTCCCATGTTTGACCCTCACGTTAAATTCAGATAGTTCATCGGAATTCCCCCCCCCCCCACACACACACACATAACGAAGATACTGGCAAGGGAAGCGTATAGTCGCCCGGAGGGGATGGAAATCAGGAGTCACGTGTACACATTGACGTGCACGTAAAAGACCCCTGGCAGATGAAATTCGATATAAGAATACGTGCAAAATTTCAATTTAAACACACTGTGTGGCGTATACCCCTCTTCAACAATATCCCTGTCGGTGCAAAACAGTAGGACGTCAAGCCCTATTTCATTCTCTTTCATTTCAATATAACCAGTGTTTTCATTCAGAAGAATAAGCGTATTTAAAATTTGTCATACGCTAAAGATTATTTCTTTGAAATATATTTTTTTTTGCACTTATCAGTTGCTTGTACATGGACTAGAGCAGCGAAGGGGATGGGGCGTCCAAGGTGGAGAGAACGTCAAGTTTAAAGGGGGATTACCCGAGAAGCCCTGACACATAAAATCTTATTGATTTCAAGCAATCTGACTTTTCGGGCAGACGGTTAAAATGAAAACAAAAATTATTATTTCATCGTTGGCAAAAAAATCAAAAAAAATCGCCCGAAACCTAATAAAACACTAATTTTACTTTTCTTTTAATTGAATACCACGAATTTGTACTGAAGTGACTATGGATTAAAACATTTTGTTTCGGGTAGCGATTATTATTTGTGAATCCAGCTGCAACAGTATGATTGGATGGTTGGAATTCAGGTCGGCATAGAGTGGAAACTTTGAAGTCGCTTTGTTCACGTGTTCGAAACACGAATTTTTAAATAATTTCGGGCATTCCTGGTTCTGCCCCCCTCCCTCCCTCCCTCCGCCCCCACGCAACATTCATCGAGCCAGGACAAGACTTCCTTCATAGAACATTGTAGAAAAGTGAGACACTTCTTTTCATTTGGTTCATCACTAATGGAAACAGCGAATCATTGTAGCATCTGTTTTTCGGGGAAGGGGCGGGGATCTAAATGTTTTGCCTCTTTGAAGCTACAGTGCTAATTTAAAAATAAAGAAATTTTTATTATATTGAAATGAAATAGGGGTTTAACGTCCTACTGTTCTGCTCCGAACTGGGCTAATGAAGACGGGCATACGCCATACAGTGTGCGATGAGGGAAATTTTGCCCGTACAGTGGATCTACGGCCTACTCTTATATCGAATTCCAACTGTCAAGGGATCTTTTACGTGCACACCAATGTGTACACGGGACCTCGGTTTTTCGTCCCATCCGAACGACTAGACAGCTGTCCTTGTCAGGCCCTCCGTCTTGCATCACTTACAAGGGGGAACCACGCCGGAAAATCTGGATGAACTTTATCGGCCAATGCAGGGATCGAACATACGACCTCCAGGCTAGCGACCTACAGGCTAGCGAGCCAGCGTCTTACCCACTTAGCCACGTGATCCCCTTTATTATATAAAGAATTCTATGTATCATAATATATTAGCGCATAACATGGTATCAAATCAATAAAAACGGTAATCGTGTCAACACTCCATTTCATTGATTGGAATAAATCTAATCTAAAACTTACCTAAAGTACCCAATATTAATAAAACCGTTGTTAATTTACTAATCATCCCCATCTTGTTTGAGACTGACACCTTTAAGTTTCGCAATTCTATCGAACTTAATCTCCTAGCTCATCCTCTTATGTATATCATAATGTATTTATATTTAGATATCATTGACGCTGTGAATAGTAAGAGCATTGAATAGGTGTATCAAATAGTCGCACCCAACCGAGTGGGAGTATAAATCAATCAAGAAATAAATAAAAAAGTATACAAAATAATAATACGAAAAGTAACATACACACTGAGAAAATAATGGGTATTATCTTTTGTAAAGTAAAAAATAACTAAAAATCGTTCATGAACCCGAAAGTGCTCGCGTACCACCTGGAAGGCCCTCGCGTACCACTAGTGGTGCGCTTACCACAGGTTGGGAACCACTGACTTAGATGGAAGCTGACGTCAAATAAAGCTATTTCCCACACATTCTGATTGCCAGTCCATAATAACACAACCGTGGAAGCAGAGGGTTAACTTCGACCAAGTAATATTTCGCTTTACTTCCATCATCATTTGGTGTCCCATTTCCGTTACGTTTAATTACTTCAAATAAAATGAAATGTAATAGGGTTTAACGTCCCACGTTTCTGCACCGACTAAGCTAATGAAGACGGAAATACGTCATGCAGTGTGTGACATGGAAATTGGGCGTGGAAAGCCTACTCTTATTTCACGGTCTCTTTTATGTGCACGTCGATTTGTATACACTACCTTGGGTTATCATCTGAAATGAAATGAAATGGAGTTTAACGTCCTACTGTTCTGCTCCTAACCTGGGCTAATGAAGACGGGCATACGCCATACAGTGTGCTATGAGGGAAATTTTGCCCGGACAGCGGCACTACGGCCTACTCTTATATCGAATTCCAACTGCCAAGGGATCTTTTACGTGCACGCCAATGTGTACACGGGACCTCGGTTTTTTGTCCCATCCGAACGACTAGACAGCTTTCCTTGTCAGCCCCTCCGTCCTGCATCACTGACAAGGGAGAACCACGCCGGAAAATCTGGATGAACTTTCTCGGCCAATGCAGGGATCGAACACCCGACCTCCAGGCTAGCGAGCTAGCGCCTTACCCACTTAGCCACGTGATCCCCGGTTATCATCTGATCCGAACGCCTAGACACTGTCCTTTGATCTACTTAAGGAGAATACTGACCATTATATACCGACCTACGAACAGGGCCCTCACGTAGGGGCGCGGTGGGGGCTGTTCGACACTTGTTGAGGGCGGCAAATTATCTAAGTGCATACCAGAAATATTTAATGGGGGACCCTTTGAATATTTATGGACTAGGCTCCTTGGAGGCTGAGGTAGCAAATCACCCGCCTTCACTCCCTCTAACCCTTGGTAAACCAGTTCGCATTTCAACAAATAGAGAGGGTAGAATTATGATTTTTTCAAGATATATTATTGGGTTTTTCGATCAAATGGAGAGTTGCAGGGGAAATAAACATAAAATTGTACATATGAGTTGATTTAATAAATATTTATTTAGATAAAGTGTTAAAAGTATAAAAATTGTATTTTAAAATTTATTTAACCATAACAAATCAAATGAGCACAGGCATTGAACAAAGCAATTACAGAACTTTATCCCTGGATCGACACATAGGCTTGTGAGGGCCCTGCATACAAAGGTAACTAAACAGAACGGTCCAGTATAAACGATTATACTGTTATAAGTATTAGTTTTCAAACGATTATACTGTTATAAGTAGGGGGGTGGGGGGGTGGATGGCCGAATGGTTAGCACGTGCGCGCTGTATCATAAAGCCTCCCACTGCTAAAGACCCCTACGCGCAAGCGAATTATTGAAATAAAATTAAACCATATGTTAGTCCCGAAATGACCTAGTTTGTGTCGAGTGGACTTTAAACCCCATTTCTCCCCCTCTCTGTTATAAGTATTAGTTTTCAAACTATTATACTGTTATAAGTATTAGTTTTCAAGATCCTGGGTAATTTTAGTAGATACTTCAATTTTGATTGGCTAAGCTCTACAATCAGTCTAATATTATCCAATCAAATTACTAAAATTTGGATTTTATCTTAGTTAAAATTTCGTGAAACAGGCCCCTGGATTTTAATGAATAAATGCCGTTAAATAATACAGGATAGAATTGATAGTTATTACACATTTTGTTATCTTGAATAATATTATGTACTTATCAAGGAAAGGGCGTTTTTATGAGTTTATTCATTTTTGTTCAATCCTTGTACGTTTGTTTATTCGATGTTATGTCGAAGAATGTAGGACATAATAAAATATGCTTTGAATGAGCAGAGGCGGGTATGGAACCCCTGCACTTCCCTTCCCCGATCTGGATACACGCCAGCTATATCATTAAGCGGCCCAATAAAGAGTGAACTTGCCTTTTAAAGAAAAATGAGCTATTTGAAAGGATTGAAAGAGACTCCCATTCCCTTCGCTTAATCCCCCCTGTTATATGTGATATTCTTGCACTAATTCCAATGCGCAGCACTTTTTATAGTCCCTTTACATTCACCAGTAAACTTGCCAACAATCAAGCTTTTATGGCAAAACCTCACTGCTATATAATTTTATCTATATTTGGGCTATTTTAATAATACACGCCTTCACCTTTATTAAACACTACAGGACTTCAATCATTTTTTTTTAAGGCAAAGACTCCTTTCAATATGTTTGTTACCTGTATTAGAATGCTTCGCCCACATAATATATGTCGCCGTTTTTATTTGCTTTATTGTTTGGCTATGAGCAAAGCAAATAAACATTATAATACGTGGAGAAAAATCAAGTGGTAGAAATATTAAAATATGTCACAACCAAAGCAAAGTTTATCTTAACAGTAACACGATATATTTATTTCTTTGGGAGGGGTATGGGGGGGGGGGGTATCCTGTGCTATTTAGATTATAGGATCTGTAATAATACGGTCATGTTAATTAGTGAAGTAAAAAGAAGCCAGTTGCACGCATCAATTCAGATGCAAAATGGCCGTAGTATATTATGATGACGAACGTGACGTCAGGTGTTTAACTCATCACGTGACTTTCCTCTTGGAAAAACTCATTTGACATCATTCCGGATTACGCCTATTTTTAAGAGGCTTTACAACATGCTTGGGTGAATTACTTTCCATTTTGTGGGAAAATGAGAAAGGCGCTGGTGCACGCATCGATTCAGATACAAAATAATTTCGAAGAGGCTTTACAATTTGCTTGAGTGAATTACTGTCCATTTTGTCTATTTAGATCTTGTGGCCCAGTGAGAAAGGCGCTGGCGATCGCATGGTTTCAGATACAAAATAATTTTGATAGACTAACACGAACTTTACTGTCATAAGTCTTGCTAAAAACCCGGACGCCTCACTGTGTATCTTTGTAATGTAATAGGGAGACGTGGTGGCGCAGTGAGTAAAATGCTGGCTCGTTAACCGGGAGGTTTCGGGTCCGCTCCCGGTTGCCACCCCCCCCCCCCTTGTCAGAGGTGCACGACGGAGGGCATGGCAAGGACAATGTCTAGTCGTTCGGATGGGATGGGAATCCTGGGCGCCGTGTAAACATTGGCATACACGTAAAGAAGGAACCCGTGACATATCGATTTATAAATAAGAGTAAGTCGTAACGCCGCTGGCCAGGCAAAATCCCTCATACCTCGTCGGTACAGAAAAGTAGTACGTTACACCCCATTTCAGTTCGTGTATCCAATACCTAAGTGCCCCCCCCCCCCCCACCACCAATTTGAAGAAATAAATGTGTCTATTTCGGGAAGAAGGACACACAATCTGTGTTCTGTGATAAATTCCAGAATTCACCACTGTTTAGTTCGGCTATTTATTTATAAAGTTCTACAAGCTAGAAACATATTATTATTGTTAAGTTTAATCCTCTATTGGTAAGATACAAATATCTTTATTTGCAGGTCGTTCTAAGTGAGCAGGGTCGGATTGAGGCCCATAGAGACCCTAGGGTACATCAAAACATAACATATATAAAACGTACTTATTTAAAGTTACAAATAAAAAAAAACGAGTGACTCCCTTACACCCCCTCCCCCTCAAACTACCATTCCTTTTGTGACTACAACTGCTTCTGTTTCAAAAATGAAGATTATCAAGAGCTGCAATAAAATTTTCGCCTTTACAAATGGGTCAAAATAATGCGTACCGTAGTGCCATCTGGTGACACTGTATACCAGACTTTTAGTTTAAAGTTGCAATTTCATATTTTTAAGTTATATTTTTAAAATTTTTTAAAATAAAGCCTTAACAAAGATGGTATCTATAAACAGTCCTACCTTGTTAAAGAATATTCCTATTAATCCTATAATTCACTATTGTCAGTTGAGAAATTAGCAAAAGTATAATTTTCAATTTTAAATTTAAACGTTTGAAGATAGCTATTCCATGGGGGAAATAGAAAAACAAGGGAGGTAATTGTGTTATTATTTCCGGGGTCAAAGGATTTTTAAGTGGGAGAATAATACCCTTGATCGTATAATAGTGAGTTGACATCCTATTGAGCAAAAGACATAGAAATAATTATGTTTTGACTTTCTTAGAAAATATGAAATTATCGCTTTTTCTACTGTAATTTGAACTACGAAAATTACATGAAATTATTTACAGCTTTTAGATATATATATATATATTTATGTCCGAACATGGTTAGTCACGATCCAACTCATCCAATCTGTCTTCTATCACATCGGCTACTTTGTTGTTGATATTTTTCAGAGCATTCTTAATCCGCGGTAACACAAGATCACCACGCCCACCAAGAATCTCCACAAGTTTTGTAGCGCCATCTAAATTACTCGTTTCCTTTGCTTCTCTGTTAATTATTTCCATGTCATCTTCACTTATGATATTTTCTGACACCATTTTTTTCGTGAGTTCTCTAAGCTGGACACTAAAGTGTGTCACCACATATTCGTGTAACTCTACCCATATGTCGTAATGGTCACTTCTCATTTGACCCTTCTGCACTTGAGCTTTAAAGAAACAAATCGACAAATAATAACTAACTGAAATGTACACTAAAGATATAAAGAAAACATTGTGTCCAAGTCGGGTAGGGATCCGCAGTGGCTCAGGGAGTAAAAAATGAAATGAAATGAAATGGAGTTTAAAGTCCTACTGTTCTGCTCCTAAACTGGGCTAATGAAGACGGGCATGCTATGAGGGAAATTTTGCCCGGGCAGCGGCGCTACTCTTATATCGAATTCCAACTGCCAATGGATCTTTTATGTGCACGCCAATATGTGCACAGGACCTCTGTTTTTCGTCCCATCCGAACGACAAGTCATGCCCTCTGACAAGGGGAAACCACGCCGTAAAATCTGGATGAACTTTCTCGGCCAATGCAGGGATCGAACACCCGACATAAGCCGACATAAGCCAGCGTCTTATCCACTTACCCACCGTGATCCCCCAAGGGAGTAAGACGTTGGCTAGCTAGCCTGAAGGTCTCGTGTTCGCCCACGGTGTTTGCAGAGAAAGTTCCTCGGGATTTTCCGACGTGGTTCCCCCATTTCAGGGACCTCAGTTGTTCGTCCCATCCGAACGACTAGACAGCTGTCCGTGTCAGGCCCCTCGTCCTGCATAACTGACAATGGGAAACAACGATATGGTTAAAACAAGCAGTGTCACCTACAATCTTCTCTAAAACCTTTTGATGGGCCTCTTTTTGATCTGATTGACTCGAACCCGGGAGATTATCCAAATTTAATATTTAAGAATAGTACAGTTTATGGCTTGATGCGTTCTTTGTGAAACGGAAACCCGTTTACAATAATTACCCCGTAAACATCACTAACGTACTTACTCGGGGTTGTCTTTATATCTGGCTTCCGGTCTCTGTTTGGCATTGAGTTTGATGGGATCGGTTCTGTTTTAATTGGAATGGATCTATTTATAGGTCGACTGTCGTCTATATGAAAGTGAAAGAATTACAAGTGGTATGAGCCATCCATAAGGGAGACAAAAACAACACATTAAATCAAGTTATGCAAGAGCTATATCTGCCTATTTCAGGTCTTTCTTTGAGCCTGAAATGTTATATAAATTATCTAACTTTAATATTTAAGTACATTACAATTTATGGCTTGATGTGTTCTTTGTGAAACGGAAACCAGTTTACAATAATTACCCCGTAAACATCACTAACGTACTTACTCGGGTTTGGTTTTATATCTGGATTCCGGTCTCTGTTCGGCATTGAGTTTGATGGGATCGGTTCTGGTTTAATTGGAATGGATCCATTTATAGGTCGGCTGTCGTCTATATAAAAGTGAAAGAATAAGAAGTGGTATGAGCCATCCATAAGAGAGACAAATACAACACATTAAATCAAATTAAGATAATACCTTATTCAATAATTTGCTTGCTCACAGGGGTCTTTAGGTCTTTAGCAAGAGGGGTGGGGTGGGGTAATTTAATTACACGTGTCTTTGTTCTGGCCATGATTTCTATGGTACAATTAACTTCATACGAAACTTACACAATTAGTTGATTTGAAATAGAGAAGGGGCCGTCTAAACGACATGCTAATTCATAAAATTGAAAATGTTTATTTAGTCTTTGTGTGTATGTAAGGTGTAAAACGAATTAAAACCGCAATACAAAATAGTATATTTATATAATTTATGGCAGAATCTACGTCGTCACTTCCGGCTAACAAAGCGTAACTCATTATACTTACCATTACCAGAATCTATTTTATCAGCGACCTGCGCAAACCCGCTCTTTCTCAGTGCTTCCAGAAACTGATCATAGCAGTCGTTACACTCATTCATTATTATATCTAGAAGTTTCTTTACTCGCTGTCGTCCCTTTACTTTGGCCTCAATCTCAGACGTATGGTCGTAAGAAAGAACATCTTCACTGAACAGGTACTCAACGACCTTATCGGGATTTACCATATTTTCGAGAATAAACTCATTACACTTTCGTATTCTGTCATAACTTTCTTGCGGAAGTTTAGCCATATTGTTTTCTTACCTATTAAATAAAGCACAATAATATTAACCATTGAAATCTGCTTTATTCAGGAATTGCATTGAGAAATCGAACCTATCGCACCTATTTGATCAGAGATTTCTACAGTTCAATTTTTTGTCTTTGATCCTGTGCAAAAACGGAAAATTCGGACTTCTCGGAACTATACAAGAAATCCGAGTTTGTTTGTATTTATAATTCTACAGAGAACCACAGACGAAAACTCTGACTTGTTTTCAAAATCTCGGACTGGGGTTAAAGAGTAGAACGTTAAACCCCATTTCAATTATGGAAAAAGGTTTTGTGTGAGCAACCGGACTACATTATATAAAAAAAGGGGTTACGTAGCGCCCGCCGCCCCCACCCCATAAAAACACGACTACCACTGGCTACTACGCATTGGACTAATAGAATATAGGGATTAGTGCTATCGTATTGTACACCAACCATATAATGCAGTTTCAGATTATTTATACAATTTAATAAATCTAATGAATACATACACCTAGATATGTTTAGATGTTTTTCTTTTTAATATTCAGTTTGTTATTAAACTGAGTAATACGCCTTTGTCATTAGGAGGTCTGACCATTTAAGTTGATGAATAATGACAAATCCTAAGATTGGGAAAACCCATCTTATTACACAAGTATATCTGACCTTCTACTGATACCAATACTGACGTATTTTAACATTGGAAAAAACCCATCCACAATTTTTATTGATATAAAAATTGAACCATATGTTAATCCCGAAATGACCTAGTTTGTGTTGAGTAGACGTTACCACCCCCCTCTCTCTCTCTCGCTCTCTCTTCTCTCTCTCTCTCTCTCTCTCTCTTTCTCTCAAGTAATATAGAAGAACAACATTGTGTTGAAATTATCAAAAAAGCGCGAGCAGAGGTATCATGAAATGCTCTAACGTTAACATACGGGTATGTTAGATGTGGTATTAGTTTGTTCTAGCACATACCCTGCCTATCGAACATCGCCTATCATTACCTATAGTTAATAGGCCTCCATGTCAATGAGAACAAAGAAATGGGAATTCCCACATTTTAAAATATAATAAATCAAGGAATAATATCAATATAATGTAACAGGCTCTGTAGCCCTAACACACATATATGTTAGAAGTGATATCAGTTGTTCTAGAAAAAGTACACATACCCTGCCTGTCAAACATCGCCCAGCATTACCTATAGTTGATAGGGATACAAATCGATGAGGACAAAGAACAGGGAATTCCCATTATAATATATATTAAACCAATGAATTATATCTTACCGTGAATATCTTGCCTTTTAAATACAACGTCGAGTCAGTCGTAGGCTATTAAGCTCGCAGTAAGTTCTTAAGACGTAAGCCCGGTGTAAAATACGGTCCCGTTCCAAAACAGCTATTTTCTTAGAAACGTACTTTGACACTATTCAAAATGGCGATATATAGCCTGTGTAATATATAATAGACCGGGAAATATTTCGACTGGATTTAAAGTGACAGCAGCACCTTAAAGTAACAGTATTGACTTGCATTACGCCGCAATTTAAAGTGACGGCATATACTTGCATTACGCCGCAATTTAAAGTGAAAGCATATATTTGTACCACATCACAGTTTAAAGTGACAAAATAGATTTGAATTATTCCACACTTTATAGTGACAAAATAGACTTGCAGTATTCCACACTTTACAGTGACTGCTTAGACTGACGCCGCACTGGGTAGCCGTATCAACATGCATTACTTCATAAGTGACAGTGATAAAATACGGAATGAACAGTCATAATTTAAAACAGTTTATCTCTTAAACATGTATTATATTATGCAAGAGCTAAATCTGCCTATTGCTGGTCTTTCTTTGGGCCTGAAATGTTATATTAATTATTAATTGGACATTAATTAACTTTTTGGACCATAATCAACGCTCGATGCCATCGTTAGCCTGCGATATTTACTGGATTGGAATACATTTTGTGATGGATAATTCAACGTAAAAGTGGATAACCGAGACTTTGTTATTAACATAACAACGTCAGTAATGACAACCGAGACTAGCCTAAAATCCAGTGGCTAATAACTCGGTTCACAATTATAGCGAGAACTGTCAGCTCTGTATCTAATCTTACCTAATGCCACTTTAATCAAATTTTCTATTACAAAATTTAATCGATATTATTTCTATAAGAAATGTATGAAAACATATTAAAGAAGCTAAACCCCTAACCCAATAAAATTACCCTTAGTATACGAAATTATAAATACGAATTAGAATTCAATTTTGGTCCATTTCAATCAATATTGATGTAGTTATCTTACTGTAAAATATGGGATCCCCATACCAATTGTTTAAGACACAGTGAACATTTTAAAATCAATGCGAATCGTGTATTCTATGGATATATATATGGGTTTCGAGTGCCATTTGTAATGAAAAAAGGAAAACATATACAAGAAAACAACATAATAATAAAAAAACCCGACGTAGAATGGACTAAGCAGGCGAAACGACAGTTGTTAAATTTGAACTGTTCGCGTATTAATAATAATAATAATGAGGTTTTATATAGCGTCTTCTCCATGTTAACACATGCTCAAAACGAACGTAATTGATTAGAAATTACAATAACAGTTGTTAAAAAATCACTTTATAAAAACTCATATGTTAATTGTATATGTGCTTTTAGAATAATTTTAGTCTATTCTAAGGTTCCAATGAATAGAGCTATACGCCCTTTAACGCTTCATTATAGAATCGAAACTAGGTCGCTATTAATATCACGTGATGTAACTTACGTCATGATGAGGTGGTTTCGGGTCATAGTCGTGGCTCACCAGACGCACAGTCTCAAAACGGGAATTCCCAATTGTTTAAATAGGTCAATGCGTTTATTTTTGTGAATTTTCCTTGCACATCACGAGTGATCATGTAATCATTGGATAGTAGCTAATAGATGAATCCCAGTCTATGTTCGTTCCAAATTCAACCGATCAGATCTAAATATTAAGGCCATATGCAGATTTCGTCAAGGTCTCTAGATGTAAACAGAGCTAGCGCTAATCCTAACCCTAACCCACAATCGTGCGAGTTATAAATAGACAATTTTTCCCTCAATTTTTTTCTCCCCTCTTCCTGCATTTTTGGGTTGACTTTTTGGTCTAGAATTGGAGAAAAGGGATCAAATTTGCAATTTCATAGCAGTTTTGGGTAATACTAATGATATTACAGCGGAGGGATAGGGGGTGTAAAGTGTCTTTCTGCAGAGCAATCATTGTGTCGGAAGTGAGATTTTCACCCCAGTCAACTTCAAATCCGCGTAGCAAAAAATCTAAATGGTCAACCCCCTACAAAATTATGATGAGGAGATTGCCAAATGTGGTCCCCATTGTGCCTATAAAGATTGGAACCAACGGAATGTTGAGCAAAAAGCTACAGCCTGTGATGTTACAGCCATTTAACATTGAAGTCAATGGGCAAATAATTACTATTTGATGAAATCGGGTGGTACACTTAAAGGGAAATAATCCTGGTTTTTAAGCTTGTAAAACACCCGGATGGTTGATATCTCCATTGACGTACTTTTTAAAAAAAATGAAATGAAATGAAATGGGGTTTAACGTCCCACTGTTCTGCTACTATACTGGGCTAATGAGGACGGGCATACGCCATACAGTGTGCTATGGGGGAAATTTTGCCCGGGCAGCGGCACTATCGCCTACTCTTATATCGAATTCCAACTGCCAGGGGATCTTTTACGTGCATTCCAATATATACACGGGACCTCCGTTTTCCATCTCATCCGAAGGACTATTTTTTTTAAAAAGATCTATGAGCCAATCTAATGTGTCATTAATGACTACGGTTCATACTCTCTAAAAAAGATCACGGGTTCGGAGGGCGGGGGCATGTAACTGAAATACATTAAGGTAGAATGTGAAATGAAATGAAATGGGGTTTAACGTCCTACTTATCTGCTCCGATTATTCTAATGAAGATGGGTATAGCCATACAGTGTGCTATGATAGTAATTTTTCCAGGACAGCGGCGTTACGGCCTAATCTTCTATCGAATTCCAACTGCCAAGGGGTCATTTACGTGCACACCAATGTGCTTGGTATTTCGTCCCATCCGAATGACTATACGTTGTCCCTTGTCAGACCCTCGGTTCTGCTCCACTGACAAGGAGGAACCAAGCCAGAAAAGCTCGATGAACTTTCTCGGCCATCGCAGGGATCGAACACAGGAGGTCCAGGATAGCGAGCCAACGTCTTACTCAGTGAGTCATCAGGAAGAATGTAGGGCGAGCTATTTTTATTATACATTTCTTACCCTTTTCTGTTCGTTTATTTATTATTATTTTTTTTATTTTTTTGAATTTTTAGTTTGGTCTATAATTGCTGACAAATTTTTAAAATCACATTTACTGCCATTTGAGTGAAATGATAAGGTGTCAGGAAGGCGGCCATTATGGTAATTCCCTGGGAAAATAACATTGGGCTCTTTTCTCAAATTAATACGATTGGACTTCTTGGAATGCTCTCCAAGATGTTATATGCCCAGACATGACATTGAATTAACATTGAAGACAAACGCCAACGGGCCAATAATTAGAATTCTGACTTCCGGTTTCGCCCCTTTTTTAAGCAAGGGCTTCCAACCTCGTGGATTTATTTCCGAAATGACCTAGTTTGTGTCGAGTGGACGTTAAACCCCATTTCTCTCCCCCTTTCTGTAACATCGTGGATTTTCTATGAGTCGTTCTCCCCCCCCCCCCACTGCTAACAATCCTACGCACAAGCGAATTATTGAAATAAAATTAAACCATAAGTTAGTCACTAAATGACATACATGTAGTTTATGTCCAGTGGACGTTAAACCCCATTTCTCTCTATTTTTTTCTTGTTATCAGCCTGGAACTATTTTGCTTGTATCTTAATCAGTAGTGCTCTGTTAAACAGTGCCGGACTGGGCCCACCTGTCCACCTGTCCATGACAGGTTGGCCTAAGCTCATTAAAAAAAGTGGGCCTAAGCCTATAAAGAAAAACGAAAAAAGAAAAAAAGAGAAAGAAAAAAGAAAAAAAAGAGAAAGAAAAAAGAAAAAAGAAAAAAAAGAAAAGAGAAAGAAAGGAGAGGGTGAGAAAAAAAAAGAAAGATTAAGGAAGGAGAGGACAGGACAAAGGACAGGAGAAAGAAAAGATAGGCAAAAAATGACTGACAAACAACACAAAAAAAGAAGTGTCCTTCAAGGAAAGAACTTTATGAGTTTGACCTCATTATACCGAGAACTCAAATTCATCTAATGATAGTGCTCTTAGGTCATTCTGTTATCTAATTGTATCAGGAAATCAAAAATTTGCCTTCTGCTTTGGTCTGAAATGCTTGGAAAATTTTCAAAATTTTCATGGGGGGAGACCCCCCCCCCCCCCCGAATGCTCGCACGCCTTCGGCGCGTACTTGTGTGGGCCTTGGTCAATGACCTGACAGGTGGGCCTTCGGCACACCAGTCCGGCACTGCTGTTATATACTAAAGTTTTATTTTTTGAAAAGGAAAAACTATTTTTTTATACAGTCTTCTAATATGTCCTTATGAATAGGACACTGCAGTTTAATTATTTCCAGAAGTCCAAGGGTCCTAGTTTAGTGCATCATTAATCTTATCTTTTTAATGATGTTATTTTTGTGGGATTAAATTGTTTATATATCCTATGGATAAAAATATCGTAACACTATAGGCGACGGGCGAGTTGGCCATTCAACAAATCTTCTGTTAAACTTCACCAAATAACACTCATGTGTTGCAACGTTGTGTGAAAATCAACACATCACTTCAATTAAAATTTAAGAAACTTGGAATAACTCATGGTCTCATGGTATAACTTGGGATGTATCCATACATAGACTTGTGTTATTGTCGATACATGCTGTTAAAATCTTGTGTTGTGTTTCCTTTGTCAAATATAGAAATGAAATGAAATGGGATTTAGCGTCCTACTGTTCTGTTTTTATACTGGGCTAATGAAGACGAGCATACACCATATAGTGTGCTATGAGGGAAATTTTGCCTGGGCAGCGGCGCTATGGCCTACTCTTATATCGAATTCCAACTGTCAAGGGATCTTTTATGTGCACGCCAATTTATACACGAGACCTCGTTTTTTGTCCCATCCGAGCGACTGACAAGGGGGAAACAACGTCGGAAAATCTCGGCCAATGCAGGGATCGAAAACGCGACCTCCAGGCTAGCGAGCCAGCGTCCTACCCACTTAGCCACCCTAGCTCCATCAAGTATAGAAACCATTTACCATATCCCCGTTCTGTACCCCTAATTTTGTTCTGGTTCTACAGTACTTTTTTACAAATAATATAACAAGATTTTTTTGAAATTAAATTAAATTGTACTTTTAATAAACGAAGTGTCCAAAACTAGCTAACGAGATAGGTATCGCTAGGGTGAG